GGGCTAGGTTGGGTCATGAGTTGGACTGGATGATCTCAGAGGTCTTTTCCAACCTTGTTGATTCTGTGATTCTGTGATTTTGTCTCTTATCCAGATGCCTGACTGAGCTCCTCTGATGAACCCTCAGCAGGGGACAACAGAATCACAAAAACAATTAGGTTGAAAAAGACCTCCAAGGCTGGGTGAGTCGACACAGCTGGACAGCCCAAACAACCATGAAACCACTGACATGCAAAGATTAAATTTATTTAATTCCCTTGCTAACGGGAAGATCCTAAAGCAATACCTGGGTGGAGACACACAAGCGAGAACGCTGGCACCACTGAGCGCAGATGATGGGTGGCAGGGCTGCTGTTGGCATCAATTTGTCAAGGGCCTTTTCTCTGGACATGGGGGAAACCCTCTCTCAGCTAAGGCAAAGCAGCCAAGGCATCCCTAGACCATAAGAAACACAAGCTCTGCTCTTGCCACTTGTGAGATGCCAGAAGATGCCCAGCTGGAGCTGTGCTGGTCCTGCTCCACAGAAGGGACTCTCAGGGTTGCCAGGCTTTCCTGGGCCACCTGCCATCCTTCTCCTGCCTGCTGGAGCCATCCTGCTGGCTCAGGACCCTCAGCCCCAGCACAGGAGGTGGCAGGACCCACTGCCCAAGCACAGTGTGCTGGGCATCACTACAGTGCAGTTCCTTCCAGCTCTGTCCCTGTCCTGGGCAAAGCCAAACCAGTGTGACTCATGGTGCCATGGGATAGGGAGGTAAAGACTAAAATTACCTGATCAGGTATCAGGGTTTCAGTTCTGAGGATGATAAATAAGCTGTTTGTGTTAACAGCCTGCCATCTGCTTGGGGAATCGCAGGGGTTGGATTTGTTTGCGTGGTGGTTTCGGGGTTTGGGTGGGTTTTTTTCTTTCTCTTGGCACAGAGAGGAGATGAGTAAAGTATTGGCTAAATCTGCAGTGTTTTGCCTCTTTTTGATGGAAAATCCCCAACACACTGAGATGTTGTTATTGGTTTAGTCTGGACTCTGCCAACATTTGCTCTGGAACAGCTGGTTATTCCACCGGTGTGGGAGTGGGTGAGCAGTGCCAGCACTCTGCTCTGCAAGGCAGCTCTGCCCTGGCACCAGTGGGGGCATTTCCCAGAGCCACCAGATGCAGAGAGGCCCCTGTGCAGTCTGAGTGACAGGGACACGCTCTGGCACTGAGCATGACTGCACAGAAAGGCACTGTCAGCTGCAGATGCCTTGGGATGCTCTCACCTGGAGAGCTGCTCCCTCCCCTCCCAGGCACTGTGCCACGGGGACAGCCTAGTGCCAGCACTGACCTGACAGCCCCAGGGGTGCCCTCAGGAGACACTGCTGGCCTGTTAACCCCAGGATTAGCACCTGGCAGGCTGCGCACCCCTGGGGGTCGTTAAACCCAAATCAGAGCACTGTTTGTGCACATCCAGTTTGCACCACCTGATCCAAGAGAGGATGCCAAGAGCCTCCTGGTCCCCTTTCTCAGTTCCTGGCACAGAAGCAGGTCACACCCAGGAGTGACTGGAAGCTTCTCAAGTCCTACACAGCTGATGACACCCAGCACAGCCCAGACTCTGTCCCGCCTCTCTGCTCCTACTCAGCCCATCTCCCACCTCCCCGTGCTCTCCTGCAGGTCCACCATGAGGTGCTTCTCTCATATTCTTCAATCACCCTTCCCAAGGCCAGGAAACACCAAAGACCACGAGACCCTGCAGTTTGCAAGTCCAGCTCCTCCTCCTGGAAGAACTAGGGGGTGGGATACAGGAGGGGGAAAGCTGGGCTCCAAGGGAGGGTGTGGTGCACCCAGACCTCCTGCCAAGTGCCAGGTGCCACACAGGGAAGGCACTTGGTGTTCCCCAAGCCCCCTGTAAACGGTGCCATTGAGGCTTGGTGAGGACAGAAGGCTGTTACCAGTGAACAAATGCATCCTGAAGGATACTGATAACTCCTCAGGACCCCGAGCAGTAAAAGATATTAACCCAGGGAGGCAGTTTCTTGCCTTTCCGAAGGTTTTTCAGCCTGAGAAACAGTGAAATGTTAAGGGCCAGAAATGGAAAGGTTGGGTTCAGGAGCTGCTCTGTTCTCCTGCAAAGCCAGGGAAGTCCAAAGTCCAGTCTGACTTTTTAGGATGTGGTTTCTGTTTCACCCTGCTGTGACACAGCCTGAGCCATCTCCCAAAAAAAAGGTGCCAGGTGGGGAAATACCTACGAACCAAGCTTCCAACAGACATTTATTGGTTTGGGTTGAGGTCAATGCACATGAAAACAGCGTCACTCCCGTGTGCTGGGCACCTCTGTCATGACTTGTCACATAGGACAGCATGCCCAGGCCATCAGCCTGGCCCCTCCTCCATCAGCAGCCACTCAAACACAGCCCATAAACAACGAGCAGAACAGGCCAGGACCTTTCCCATCTTCCCTGCCTGCCCAGCACTGCTCCACAGCCAAAGTCTGGCTCTGGGGGCCTGGTGGGGTGCAGGTAAGGACGAACTAGGGGAGCAAGTTCTGAATCCAGGGCTCTTCCTTGCCTGTGGCTCCCTCTCAGCCCAACCAAATACACTGGCCCAGTTACTCATCCAGCCCTGGGAAGGCAAGGACAGTGAGAGGAGCCTTCTTGAGCCTTTGGTCTGTGTGGATCAAAGCAAACACACATATTGTGACTGCAGAGTGACCAAGCAAAGCACCCACTGGACAGTTTCTGGAAGAGCAGGGAGTGAGTGGCCCTGTCTGTCCCATCAGCTCCTGGATTGGATGATACAGGTGATGGACAGCTTGGACAACAGCCCCAACTGTGAACTGCACCTCACTCCACTGCACAGGGAGGGCAGAGCAGAGGAGAGCTCTCTGGGGCTTCATTCGCCCCTGTGATCTACAGGTGCTCCCACCAGTCCACACTGAAGCCTCCCCCAAGCAAGGGGAGCACCAGAAAGTGGCAGGTGATGGTTGCAGGGGGTTGCAGGGCATTAACAATAAGCAGCACAAAGTAGGCAAGCTTCAAACAGTGCTGAAGTAAACTCAGTGGTGACACGAGCCAAAGCAAGGTCAAGTTTGCTGGAGTCAAGTTTGCAGGTGTCATGTTGGCCCACCTGGGCCTTGCACCCTGGTCTGTGAGCGGGCAGAGGGACTGGTTTAGTTTGTGGACCTCTGGCTGCTGGTAGGACCCATATCTTGGGATGGAGGAGGCTGCCCAGGAAGGACAAGGGAGTGGAAACCCCCTTGCAAAGGTTAGGGAACAGGTTTCATGCACTGGGTTCTCTGGCAGTGCTGATACATGAGAGAATTGGGATTGTTCAGACTGAAAAAGAGAAGGTTAGAAGTGACCTAATTGTGGCCTTCCAGGACTTGAAGGAGCTAAAAGAAAGATGGAGAGACACTGTTTATGAGAGAATGGAGTGACAGGACAAGGGGGAATGGCTTCAAACTGACAGAGGGCAGGGTTAGATGAGATGTTAGGAAGAAATTCCTCCCTGTGAGGGTGGGCAGGCCCTGGCACAGGTTGCCCAGAGAAGCTGTGGCTGTCCCTGGATCCCTGCAAGTGTCCAAGGCCAGGCTGGAGCCACCTGGGCCAGTGGAAGGTGTCCCTGCCCATGGCAGGGGGTGGAACAAGATGATGTTTAAGGTTTCTTCCAACCCAAACCATTCTGTGATTCAATGAGCAACTTGGACCTGCTTATGGCACTGCCCCAGGAAGGATCCCACCTGCATTGTGCTTTGTAAGGGTGAATGTGCTATCAGGTGCAATGGCAAAAGCCACAGGGGTTGTGTGAACTCCCTGGCAGGGTGAGCAGTGACCCAGGCAGGAACCCCACCTCAGGACCCTGCAGCAAACTGCATCAGGGCTGAGCTGGGGGAATCAGCATTTTGGCTGGAGGACAAGCCAGCAAGAGCTCCTGGACAGCCCCCCTAAAAGGGGAGAGCACCCCAGGACACCCAGGGAAGCCTCAGCAGCTACAGGGCAGAAGGGCAGGCAGGGTGGGAGGGGTGAGAGGCCTTCACACCCAGGGAGAAGGAAAGCTCCTGTCCTACTGCCATGGGCATCAGCAGCTCTGGCTGTGCCACCTCAACACAGGTGGATGCTCAGAAGGGACAACAGGGGCACTGGGTGACATCAGGGTGCCCTGAGTCTTTTGCACAGGACTGTGTCCAGCTCATGGTGCCAAGCCCAGAGTTGCTGGCTGGGGCACTGGAGGGCAGGACTGAACGCCCTCTTGGCACTGAGAGCCTCTCATCTGCTGTCTCCACCTTCCCCTGCCATCTCTCCAGTGTCCTGCTGGGTTTTCCTTTCCTTCTGCATGTTGCCCTGTTCTGAATTTTGCTCCTATTGTTCCACCTCCTTCCTTTTTCTTGGAGCTGAGCACTGAATCCAGTCGTGGTGAGGTGGGAAAAGCAACTCATCTGCCCACAGTTTCACACACCCAGTCTGCACTCTGGTGGTAACTCCACAGGGATCATCCCTTCACTCAGCAGGCTCCAGGATCTGCCCTGCACCTTTGCTTGGCTCTACCCAGAGCCACAGAGCACCTTGCAACGCAACCGAGGCAAACGCAGTGAAACCCAAAGCAGAGATTCCCCACCAGGAGTCCTCAGGAATCATCCCAGAGACACTCACAGGGTTGTACAAGGCTAAGGATGAGACAATCGTCTGTGGGCACGGCACGTCTCGGATGGTGGAGCACAATGTTCTCCAAACATGTGCTATTTTTAACCCCGTGTGCTGGTGAAGGACTGAGCCGGTCCCTTGGCCACGGACTCTGCTGCAGCACACGCCTTCCAAGCTGAGCTCAGGTGGGATGCGGAGTTTGTTGATGCCATGGAGGACGTGGTACCACTGATGTGGTCGCTCAAACTTGCACCAGCCCGCTCGGGAAGCCCCTCTGATGGTGGTGCCGCAGTGGGAAGCATGGACAATGACGGGAGGTGGAATCTCTCGGAGGAGAGCAGATTGTGCACTCTGGCTGGAGACCTGCGGAGGAGAGGCAAGAGATGGGAAACCATCAGTTGCAACCAAGGGATCTCCTTAGTGCCTGCCTTCTCCAAAAGCCAGAGAGCCAACCCTGCCTTGTAGAGCACCTAATGCCACTGAGCAGAACTGTTGGCTCTCAGGCCACTGGCCACAGGGGAAGTTTCCAGTGATACTGAGGATGAGATGTATCCTCCCACAGGAGGCTACAACCCACTGGACCTCCATTACCATCATCTTCCTCTCACACAGTCACCCGTGGGGTCAGTCAGGTGCTAGTGCTCAGCTCAGGCCCTCTGGGTGTAGCCCAGGCGTGGAGGAAGGTGGGAGCTCAGTGGGTGGATGGTTTCACCTCCTTGCCAGCTGCCCTGTGCTGAGCTGTAAGGTCTGCACTCGGATTTGTGGTGCTGGAGCACAGGATTTCACTTCAGCTGCAGTAAAGCACATCCTTACAGGCAGAACTTCACCTCAGCAGTGACTTGGTCCTCAGCACACTCTGGCAGGAGTGAGCTCAGCTCACCGGGTTGCCTTCGCTCCCCACCAAGCTGTTCAGGCCTCATTTGACCTGTCTGCACCCCCCCCACACACCAATTTTGGCAGCATGTGCTGCGCAGCAGAGTCACACATGGGCAGCAGGGCAGGGGAAGCAGCTTGAGCCAGGCAGAGCTGGCCCACTGGGGATCCAACCTGGCCACTTCAGCCTCCTCCTGGGATGAGCTGGGAAGTCCATGCCAGGCTGCACTGGCAAGAAGCACCTCTCCATGGGTCTGCTACCACATTCAGAATGAGTTATGTCCTCAACCTCCGGCAAATGGACAGGAGCTGCCTGGTTACCCCTCCCAGCCAGAGGATAGTCCTGTGTCACAGACACAGCCTGGCCTTGGGTGACCCCTGTTTCCAAAACACTGGCACATCACCACTCAGTCGAGCCAGGAAGGCCCATCACAAGGAAGCCCCTCTTGCCTAGCCCAGCCTCCCAGGATGTGCACACTTGCCATGGTCATTCCCGTGCCCAGGAGCTGGGACTGGCTACATGATGGAGCAGGTGAAGCCACAGCACTCCTTGAGCAGGGTGAGGCCGGTCTTGGTCATGTACGGTGCCGAGGTTTGCTGTCCCCTGGAAGTCATCTTCTTCTCTTTGACAGGAGCTGTGGAGAGAGGAATTGGGGTCTGCCTGGTGACCAGGGCACAGGCCCATGGCTGATTCTTAGAGCTCCTCCTGGGGCTCACTTGCTGACCATCCTCAGAGCCACAGCTGGGCACGAGCTCCTGCACCCAGGAGGCACGTTGCCATGTGTGCTTCCTGGGTGTCCACAGGGGTCCTGGGCTGGAAATGCCTCCCACTGCACTGGGAAGGTGATGGAGGCACAGGGAAGAGGGTGGCCTGCCGTCAGAGGCTGTGGTGTCCATCCAGGGTGTGACCTTAGGTAATGGTGGGATGGGATGTAATGAGCTGGCTGGAAAGGGTCAGGTGAAGCCCATCAGCTATGAAAGGACACCTACCTATCACCATTCTCACAGGACATGGTGGCTGGGAAATACCAGGAGGGAAGTGGAAGCACAACATCTGTACCACTTTGGGATGTTTCCATGACGTGATCTCGAGCACCAGCATCGCCCAGCTGCCACTTCCCCACACCCTCCTCCAGCAGCAGATGGTCTCCAGGTAAGGCAGACCCAAGCAGAGCAATGAAATCTTAGGGACAGGGTGCTTAGGAAAGGGGAAGAACTGCCAGGGTGAACCTTCATTCAAGGAATGAAACTCATGAACCACCTACTTGCTTTCTGGAGGTAGCTTTTGGAGAGCTTACTTTGCAGGAACTCTGCCATTTCCTTGTCTTCTTCCCTTTCCCTGTGACAAAGAACTTGGTTACCATCCAGGAAAGGAACAGGAGCACCTGGGAAGGCAGGATGCAGATCAGAGGACAGACTGCACTGTCCCCAGTGCAAGGAATAAGTTGAGCTACCTGAGCCTCTCAAATTCCACGTCATCCACCAGGAAATCCCGTGTTTCCACCAGCTTGTGTATCTGTTGAACCAGGTCTTCTTCCCTCTGCTTCTCCTCGTTGGACTTCTCGTTCTCTGCAGCACAGAGAACACATTTAACACACCAGCAGGGCCCATCCCACCCCTACCAACTTGGGAACAGATATGACAGTGGGGACAAAAGTCAAGCCAAAGGAAGCAGCTGGATCCAGGCACAGGCTGCTAAATAAGCAACAACCTCATCCCAAACCACTCTGGCTGGAAGGAGAGACGTCTGCTGTCATCAAACTTTGAAGTTTTAGCTTCTCCCCAAAATGTTCATGGGGCTGAGCACTGCAAGATGCATCTGTGAGCTCTGCAGAGCAGAGAAAGGGCCCCTCGGGGGGTGTTTAACCCTCATTTCCCAATCCAGCACATCCAACCAGCCCCAGCTTGGCCCTGAGCTGGGTAGAGGTCCAGAGATCTCAGAGTCAGGTCCTCTGTGTGGCTGAGAAACCAGCCAGGGGTTGAGGTGTGCAGGGAATTATCAGCAACGGGCAGATGCCCTGGGAACATCTCACACCTCCGTTTATGTCACACACAGAGATGTGGAAAACAATCCACTGGGTTTGTGGCCTCATTCCCTTGCTGAACATGCTCCTGGTGATCTCACCCTCTACATCTGACCTTCCAAAACGCTGTCAGTGCCGTTCCCACCCCAGCAACAAGGATGGCCCCAAATTTCTGCCAGGCTATTTTGAATCCATCAGTTTTGGTTGTCACCTGAACCCCCTGACAGACTCACCTTGGGTGGGACCTGCTTGTGCCACAGATCTTTGGGCAGAGAGTTAGTGAAGGCCTGGAAAACTCTCACATCACTGTGAAGTCCTGTCCTACATAAATTTACAGAATCACAGAATAGTTAGGGTTGGAAGGGACCTCATCCAGTCCAACCCCTTATTTATTTTATAGCTGCATTTTAAAACTCAGCACGTCGTTTCTGACTCATCAGAAACTGCAATTGCTGTAAGCACCCCCAGCGACCAGAATCACTCCTGACACAGGCCTAGCCTTACTTTTTCACTTGCTGTAGGAGAGATGGATCGAATGAACAAGTTTAGCTCCCTGTTGGTACACAGGGGTCAGTGGGATGTGTGAGGATGGGAGCCATAGGGATAAGGAGTGGAGAGACCCCTAGCTGGGAACTCTCACTGTTTGTGCTGCACCTGTTTAATACCAAGTCTGAATTCTGCAGCCCAGCCCAGAATGGATCAATCCCCAGCCTTCCTTCAGCTAAATAAAAATACAGAGAAATTCACAGTATGGAGTGAGCCCTGCTGGCTGGGTCTCAGCAGTGACCTAAGCTGAGTATTGATCAGTGGTTTGAAGTCAGCTGTAGATCAGGGCAGGTGCTGCTGCAGGGCTCTAGGAAGGAGGGACCACAGAGAATCATCCTGTTAAGAAACATCCCCAGCACACAAAGGGTTTTCCTGCCACTGTGCTTGTGTGCAAGGAATGAGCTTCCTGGCAGAGAAAGCTGCTCTGGGCTGGGGGCTGAGCCACAACAGCTGGTCTTCCACCAGGAAGAGTTAATGCACAGTCACCTGGCCCTGGGCACTATCTCTGTGCAGCTCCCACCTGCCTGGTGGGAACGGGAACACTTCCAAGTGGATGCCAGACAAATGGGAAGCGTCAGGCAGTGCAGAGCATTTGGAGTTAATCCACGATCTGCATTCCCGAGGTGGGGGCACGTCAGAGTCAACGTCCCACTGCGCAAACACTGCACCTTTTCTCCAGACTTGCTGATGTCAGAGCCCACCATGACCATGACACTCTGAGTTATTGAAGGCACCTTGGCCTGGTGAGATTTCAAGCCCCAGGTCTGGCTGAGCTCTGAGTAAGCACTGACGTGTTCACATCTCTACCCGAACCGAGGACTGCCGTGACACTCTCTCCACAACAGTGATGTGCAGGATTTTTCCAGCACAGTCTGATCTGAGTCAAGTCAGAAAGAAGACAAAAAGAGCATCCCTGATGCAAGCAGAATTTCTGCTTTCAGCTGAATCTGGGAGTACTCAAAAGACAAGAAATGAAAGACCAAAGCAGATGAAGGAGAGCCAGACACATTGCTCCAGCATCAGAAAAGGCCAATTTATCTCTGGTCCTGAGCCATGGTTTAGGTAAAGTCTTAGTTTAGGGGTTTGAATTAAAAGCCCACATGAGATTTGGGTCTGCTTTGCAAGCAGCTCCCATTTTTATGGCAGGATGCTCCCCCTCCTGTCTGAACCTCCCTCTGGATGCAGGCAGGTTGTATTAAACTAATCAGAACCTGCATAATAAGCAGCATTTGGGCTCTAGCTGCGTGCTGAAGGTTCACAAGCACACACAGCACAGCCCCACTGTGGCTTCAGTATTTGCTGCCACTCTTGGCTTTGAGGTGACCTCGGGTGCTGATGAGCTGAGGTGGCGCTTGGGGAAACAGATGTGCACAGCTGGCCCCTTGCCTGCCCCCAGGCATCACCCCCTGCTGCACATTCACTGCTCTCAGCGAGTGCAGCATCTTCAGAGAGACACCTGTGGTGGGAGTAGCTGAGGTCCAAGTCCTCGTGCCTGGGAGGGTACAAATAAGCAGGGATATGTCTCCCATCTGCTCCTGGTCCTTGCTGAGGGCTGAGTGAGGGTGTCCCAGGAGGAGGCAGAGCCTTATGGCAGAGCCCTTCCCTGACAGCTGCTGCCCTCTCCCCCACCACTGACACACGTTCTGACATGGCCACAGTAAGAATTCCTTCCTTTTCACACACTTAAGTCCTTTGAAGGCATCTCCCCTTCTTTATCCACTCCATTGGGGTCAGACAATGGTCCCTGCTAGTCCTCTTGACTCATTTGGGATCCTCCCTGGTGCACTGTGTTGGGATTCATTGCCACCTCCCTCAGCTCCCCTTCTCCTGTACCTCAAAGGACTTACTATTTCTCTGCTTTTCAGTTTTCTCTGCCCTTTATCCCAAGCCTTGGACAGGGACTCCCTGGAAGTGCTCCCAAGGAGAATCTCGGGAGATGCAGCAGTGCCTCTGGGAGCATCCTGGGCTGGGAGCTCCCAAGGAGCTTCTTGTATTTCGTGGAACCTTTCTGCTGACTGCAGCAGGGTGCAGTTCCCCGAGGCTCCACAAAGCCTTACCTGGCAGGGCTATGAGTTTTTGAAGCTCCTTTTTCAGCCGGCTGATTTCTTTACACAGCTGAATGTCATCCATCCTGCAGGGACACAAAGTGAAACCACTCAGGGCAGAAGACTGGGAGAGGAATGTTTCAAACCCCCAGAGCAACACCCAACCAATGCTGGAAGGCAATGCACTCAGTGCCTGTGGTGGGGAACATGAATTTACCTGCCTTCCCACTGGAAATGGGAGCCCACTTCATCCCAGAGCCACATGGGTTGGGTTGCTGGTTGTTGGCAAAGCATAAGTTTCACTGCCCTAATGACAAGGAAGCCTCATTAAAACCTGGCACACCCACCAGGCGATAGCAGCTGTGTCTCTCCTTCTTCCAAAAAAATAATCCCCAAAAGGCAAAATCCAAAAAAAGAAAGGGATACCGTATAAGAGGATCTGACCTTTTTGTCCTGCCCTCCTGTAGAATTAAAAGAAGTTAGAAATACAACAGAGGGGGGGAAATGTGCAAACTTTGCAGGTGTCTGCTGAGAAACAAGGAGAGAGAAGCAGGAGAAAAGGGGTCTGCTGAAGCCAAAGGTAGTGGAAACATCTCTGGCTCAAATCCCACGACAGCAGCAAAGTGCTGATCAGGGTGGGCCCAGCTCAGACATCAGCTGCTGGAGCCAACCAGGAACATGTGGCCCTGTCTGAGCTGAGGCAGTTTGGATGTCTCAGGAGCACCACAGACACTCAGCCTCTTCCATGGGGACCAGCTCAAGTGCTGCTTGGGGCTTACTGGGGCTGGCAGAGGAACAAACTGATTTATTTTTAAAACTCTCTTGCCTGTGCCCTTGGTAAAGCCGAGCTCATCCGGGCAACCTGTGCCAGGGCCTCACCACCCTCACAGGCAGGAATTCCTTCCTAACATCCCATCTAACCCTGCCCTCTAGGAGTGTCATTCCTCTTGTCCTGTCATTCCAGGCTCTTGGAAACAGTCTCTCTCCATTTTTCTTGTAGCTCCTTCAGGCACTGCAAGGCCACAGTGAGGTCACCTCAAAGCTTCTCCTCTCCAGGCTGAACAATCCCAACTCTCTCCCCTTTCCTCCCAGCAGAGCTGCTCCATCCTCTGATCGTCCTGGTGCCTCCCCTGGACTCTCTCCAGCAGCTCCATGTCCTTCCTGAGCTGTTCCCCAGAGCAAGAGTTGTGCCTGCAGAGAACCCATGACTGACTTGTCACCTGATGCCACCCTGCACAGCTGTGCCCCTGGTTCCTTTGGAAGTGGGAGCTCCTAAAAGCCTTGTCTGCACCCCCAAAAGTCCTGCTGGTCCTTGCACTGAGTCACACCGTCCACCCCTCTGGGATGAGTCATGTTTACTGCAGCTGCCTGAAGATGCAGCTTTGCCAGCTGAGCCGAGGACCCCAGGAATGTTAACAAAGGAAGGGAAAATAAACAACCTCCCAAAGAGGAACCCTGTGAGATGTTGCTGTGGGAAGAGGACCAGCTCAGGTGGAGGAGAAGGCTCCCTTCTTGGCTCTGTCAGACTTTTGCTCCAGCTGACAGAGTTTTCCCTTGCCTGCATTCCACACTGAACAGGTCCAGCAGTGCCAGTGCTTGGGAGCTGCACGTGGAGAGCAGGGAGGGCTGCTTGTCCTCTTCTTGGGTCCTGTGGTGGCTGAGCCCTGAACTTGTACAAAGAGCACCAGCTCTGCACAGAGCACAGGGACAACAGGCTGATTGCTGGTGATATGCTTATTGAAATGAAAAATTAAAATGAAAATACGCAGTCAAATGAGGGCTGAAATATTATTAAATTTTAATTGGAAATTAATTCCTGGAAAACTGATAGTGAGAAAAATTAATTGGTGATAACAAAAATTCTGATTTCAGTAAAGCTTGGGAGGGATTGCAAGGAGAAGCACCCAGAAAGCTGCTGCTGGAGCTGGGATTGCTTCTACCAGTAGTTTTCAGCACCAGCCAGAGCCAGGGTGCCCCTGCCTGGCCCCAAGGAGCAGGTCAGAGCACTGAGGAGGGCAAGTGCAGAGCTGAATCTCCCACAGGCAATTTAGACCTTTCCTTTTTCCCTATAAAAGGAGAAATGTTGGGAGCTTCCTTGTTTTTCCAAAGCACAGACACCTTAGAAATGTTGGAACATTTCAGTTTGACATTTCCAACAAGGAGAAAACATTGATTGCACTGGACTGACCTGTTTGGGAGCACACCCTGGGAAATGTCCTCTTCCCCAAGCCCTACAGTCCAACCAGCCTGAATATCACACTTTTTTCCCCACAGGGGAAGAAAAAAATTTAAAAATTGCAGCCCCAGTTCCTCATCCTTTTAAACCTTGTCCTGCAGAACCCAGAGGTTTGGGATCTCTCTTCTCCAGCCCTCAGCCTTCCCTGCCCCACAGATCCACACGCTCCTCCTCGCCCCTGCACCCCACAGCACCCCCAAAACACCCAGACACGCAATCCTGGCACTTCCCAACTCCCAAGGGATCCCTTTTTCAGCCGTGCCCGCCCTAGCATGGGGTTTCTGCGGGTGATCTCCCTTTGTTTTCCAAGGGCAAGGCAAAGAACAAAACAAACAAAGGGATAAGAAGGAACGAGATCCGTGAGCTTTGACAGCACTGGAGAGAAGCAGGTACCGGTTGCCATGGAAAGCATTGAAAAACTGCACTTTTTATGAACTCCAAAAATCCCTTTCAACGATGTGTTCAGGGGGAACTGTGCCTCAAAGAGGCCACTGTTCCAAATCAGCCACAGTCCAGCTCACAGCTTCCCCACACACTGGATTTACACAGGGATTTCCAGGCTTTGGTGATCCCTGCAGTGCAGGTACCACTGAGAAACCAGACACATCAAAAAAAACCAGTATATCAAGTGCTATAGCCCAGGAAATATGATCTTTGCCATAACCAGCAGAAAAATTCCAGGTTTCTATTGACCTGGTAGCATGGGATTTGATGACTGGGCTGACTACAGCAATTCAGTGGTATTAAAAAGCTTAATCAACCCAAACTTGATGGTTTTGTTCAGTCCTTTTCCTCCCAAACCATAAAATCCCCTGTTATATTCAGGAAAAAATGTTCTTTATCCCTCCTGCATCTTTATGTTGCAGCTGGTTTAGTGCTTCTGCAACACAGTGGCTACTTGATTGCCTCAAATCTGAAAGGCCTGGAGATTTTTACCCAAAAACTGCTTTGATTATTGAAGTGAATCACAGAGAAAAAATCCTCCCCTCCTCACTGGGCTGCAAAGGCTGTGCTGGGAGTGGAGACGCAGGATGCAGGGTGGCACCAGGCACTGATGCTGGTCCCATCCTGCCGTGTCCTGGTGAATCCAGGGGCCAGGGGATGGAGGTGGAAAGGGGAAGTTGGGAGGACGTGCAGTACTTCAGTCTGGGAGAACAAACTGTGTCAATGTGGCTGTTGAGCAGCTGCAGATCTTCATGCTGGGGCAAAGCCACATCTCCAGAGAGCAGCAACAAAGCACCAGCCTCGGGTCCCTTCCCAATCCCAGCCTCAGAGTCTCACACTGAGGAATAATATGGACCCACTGGCACCACGGGGTGCTGCTGGCTGAGTATGGAAACATCTGTGTAGGTAAACCCACGTGATAAACTCTGTTTGCACAGAATTTGGCCGGCTCAGACCTTCACAGCATCAGTGGCAGCTTCATAAGCCATTAAAGCCCCTTCTGAGGGCAAGGCCAGAGCAGTGGGAGAGGCTGCACTTCCCGGTGGAAAACAAGGTGGAAAGCAGCCTCAGCTCTGAGTGGGCAGGAGAAGGTGCTGGGAGGCCCCTGGGAATGGGGCACAGGGCAGGGCAGGGCAGGTACTCACATGTAGCGCAGCTCTGACTCCCTCCTCACCAGGATCTCCCTGATCCTCTCGATTTTGAAGAGCTCTCCCTCGATGTCATCGATGGTGGTGGTGGAGTCAGCCATGGAAACGATCTCATCCTCTGCCAGTGAAACAGGAGCCGTGTCAGTCAGCAGGAGATGTCAGGTGGGTGCTGAGGCCAACACGGGCTCTTGGAGCTTCACAAATCAGTGTCACCTCAGCTGCTCCGTGCTGGCCTTGCACGCCCTGCCCACACCAGGGCTGTGCCGGGCTCTGTGCTGCTGAGAAAGCCCCAGATTTCCAGAGTCTCCCCCTCTCTGGACAGCAGGAGGCCAAGGGAGCAAAAAACCGCTGGATGGAAGGACAGGAATGCCGCTTTTTCCAGAACCACGTGAGCTTCAGCCACCTCAGCACACAGACACGAGCCTGTGTGTGTGCACCCTTCTCCAGCACACGCCAGGAACAAATTCTGGACTCACATAGCACAGAGCTAAGGAATCATGGACATGAAAGTCCTTCAGCTGCTCCCCTTCCATCACAGGTTGGTTGAAGTCCCCCCACGCTTCCCAGTTCACCAGGAGAAGAGCCCTCATGGTACCCAGAAGGCCAGTTCAGCTTCCTCAACCTCTGGAGTGCTGATCCATCACCTCTGTAACCCACCTGGGGAAACTGAGGCAAGGGAAAGGGGCTGTCCCTTGCTGAGGGCAAGAGGCAAGAATTCACAGCAAAATGCAGAAAAAAAGGGGCTGTAACTTGTATTTTAGAAGGGTGGTCAGGATGAAAGCCCAGCAACCCCTACTCATGGCTCTGACCACCAGCTCTGCCTCTCCCTGCTGATGACTTACACCCTGATATCCCACTGTTTGCACAAGGCTGTGCCCTGTGCACACACGGGTGCTGTGTGGATTCACACAGTGCCTGTGCATCCCACAGGGACTCCCAGACCATTTTATGGGAATATCTCCCAGGCCAGCTGCCACCTCCCAGCCTGGTCTGGCTCTCAGAGTTTGTTATCAGTGACAGGCAGCAGCACACTCGTCACACGCAGATTAATCCTGCTCTCCTGGGATGTGCTACAGCCAAGCCAGGCTGTGAGAAAACATCCAAAATAACACGTGAGCCCGTCTTTGAATCTTCACAGGGCACATTTTGCCTTCCTGCTGCCCTGGGACTTTCCCCATGCAGGGGAGGGGGAAAGCACAGCCACGAAGCACCAGCTCTGGGAACAGGATTTTACAGGCAGGTGATGTTTGGGAACTGGAGTTTTCACAGTGTGTGGCCTGGGCATTCCAAACAGGACCCAGGCCAGTGCTAAGGGTTATAGGGTAGCCAGAAACCAGCACTAAGGCACAAGAGCAAACACCTGAGTCGCTGGTTCTCTACCCATCAAGTAAAACTACTTGGGAAATCACTCCCAAAGCCAGGCATATTTCCAAGGCTGCCAGCAGGGAAGGTTTATCTGGGAAATATGACTGGTTTGGGTCAGTGTGACTGGTTTGGAGAATAATTTTCTCCTGTTTCTGGCTTAGAAACTTGCGAGGATTTTTTGGAGATTATGTCCCTCTTCCCCTAGACACAAAGGTCACGTTCAGCTTATGCCAGTGTGGGAATCCTCCATCCCTCCCTGTTCTAAACCATCAGGATGCTCTCAGGAGCCAGCACTTACTCAGGACAAAGGGACGAATCCCTGGGCTGGACAGAGTGTGGGATTGGCTGCCCTGCTCTCCATCAGCTCTTGCTCAAAGGCTCTGCTACAAATGAGCACAAACCCCCTCCCTTTGCCTCGTTTCCACGGGCCTGATGTGGGTTGCTAAGGGACCCGCCTGTGGTTGCTGCAGGATCAGGATGCGGTTGCTAGGGGACCAGAGTGCGGTTGCTAGGGGACCAGGATGCAGAGGTCCCTCATCCCAAGCATCCTGATGCTCTGCCACCCCAGAGCTCCTCTCCCTGGGATATTTGGCTGCACTGCTGAGCAGCTGGGAACAGGTGAGAGACGCTGGCAGGGAACACACGTGAAGGTGCAGATGGCACAGCTGCCGTGTGCCTGTAGGCAGCCACTCCCTGGGCTTGTCCTTCAGCCCAGCTCTAGACCTGCCACGGGAAAGCTGCCTTTCTCTGTGTCACTTCTGCGAGCAGGCTGAGATGACGAGGCTGCTGGTTGCACAGATGTGCCAGTAAACACAGATATGAGCTCACTGCAGCCTCCATTAGCCAAGGACAAAGCCAACCAGCCCCAGGAGCACGGGGGTGGCTCTAGGGGAGGGGGGGCTGTCACTTCTGACCTGCCTGGGTGGGTGAATAACCCAGAACATCTTTGATCACTGCTGGCAGAATCACTGGGCTGAGATTATCTGCCAGCTGTTCCCCAGGGGATGAGTGAGGGTTTGAAACAGCTGTCAGCACCTCTTCTTCTCCATTCTCATCCCAGAATCTCATTAGCAGAACCATCCCAGACCGGGAGAGGTGAATCCTCACCTGTGTATGTGAAGGGAGGAGGTGACAGGGCTGGAATAGGAGGAGGTGGCAGTGCTGGGATGGGGGAGGTGGCAGTGCTGGGTACAAAGGAGGTGCTGGACAAGAAGAGGTGGAAGTACTGGGATGAGTGAAGGCAGCAGTGCTGGACAGGGAGGAGGTGACAGAGATGGCAGGAGGTGGCAATGCTGGGATGGAGGAGGTGGCAGTGCTGGGATGGAGGAGGTGGCAGTGCTGGGCTGGCAGGAGGTGGCAGTGCTGGGATGGAGGAGGTGACAGGGCGGGAATGGCAAGAGGTGGCAGTGCTGGTTTGCTTCCCCCTGTCCACAGCAGGAGGCTGGGATGTAATTCCAGTCCATAGGTACTGCCCACAACAGCAAGAAAGCTCCTGACTCTGCTCTGGGTGGGTTTCCCACCAGTGGCTGGGACCACCCTGATCTCACAGACTCTCCAAAGTCCCCTTTCTGTTGGACACTTCCCAGCAGCCTCCTGTGGCAGGTCAGGAGTGCCCTGTGAAATGGGGGCAGTGGGCAGGGCTGCTCAGCACAGCAGAGCAGGGGCTGCAGGACTCGAGCTGGAAGCTCTCAGCCCTCAGCTGTGCCTTCAGGTGTTGTGGTTGGGTCCTGGCACTCTGCATCCCTCAGGCATTCCAGGGAACTGCTCACCAAAACAGTAAGTCTTGCTTGGATGAGAAGTCCTGGGACTACTGTCGTGTGCCTGGAGCTGCTTAATCCAGGACAGAAGCAGAAGGAGGGCAGTGCCAGGAGAATGTTCCTGCAAAATGAAGCCCACAAACCCTGCAGGGAGCACCTGGACAAGGGGACACAGAGCTACACCTTTGCATCATAACCATCCACCAAAACCAACCAGGAGAAACCAGTAAATCCATACAGGTGACTGACAGGCAGCTGACAGGATGGGGAGATAAATTTGTTGGTGGAGATTCCTTCCATGTGCACAGGACCACAGGTCATCATGCCAAGATCTGAACATCTGAGTGAGGAGAGGGGATGGAGCACATAACAGAGGGGGAGAGGCTGAGAGTAGAAGGTTGAGGACTGTTCAGGCACTGGAACAGGGATCAGAGAGGTTGTGGCATCTCCATCTCTGGTCCAAGACAACTCCTGGACAAGGCTATGAGCAACCTGATCTACCAAGTCTGCTTTAAGCAACAGGTTGAATTCTGTATCTCCAGAGGTCTCTTCCAATCCAATTTCCTCTGTGATTCCATGTAATGACAACTGATTTTTGACGGGCATGATTGGAATGTGCATGAATCTTCCCTGCTGGCTCAGGAGATGTTTTCTCCAGGTGGAAAAGGGGTGATGCTGAGTTCCTGAACCCCAGCACTGCAGACTGGAAGGTCAGAGCTGTTCTGACAAAGGGCCCTGTGTCCTCACAGGCCTGTGCAATGGCAGCAACACATCCAGCAGCTGCAAAGGTACAGACCCTGGGAGCTCCTGTGGGATTAAATTCCAGACAGCTGGTGAAAAGTCTCACTGGAGATGGTTTTGCCAAAGCTGAGAAGGGGTTTCTTACACCAGGTTTCTCCTGCCCAAGGCAGGATGCTTATTAAAGCTGTGATCAAGCTCACATCCCGAGTCTCCCTTTGGGAATGACCCCCCTGTATGGCCACGCTGCCCAGGGCTCCCTTTGGTCTCACAGCCACACACAGAAATCAACCCCACACTGCTGAAAGATTCCCCAGCTGGCACCATTTCAACCTGGCAAAGCAAGGAGGGGGAAAAAGCTTTGATTGAAACTCGGAGATGATGCTCTGATCATCACACACGGCCCGAGGTGGCGGGGGGGCTCCATTAATGAGCAGTGTAATAGCCAGAGACTTCCACTCCATATGGCTGTGGTGAAAACATTTAGACAGGCAGCAGCAAGCCTGAGATGAGTCACAGCAACAGCCAGCTCAGGGCTGAGTTTCAAGCAATTTGCTTCATGATTAAAGCTGGACGATCGATTGGCCTGTGGAGGGGTCAGAGCTCTTCACGGGGGCTCCATCCCCAGAACTCTGTAACTCAGCACTGTGATTTGCTCCGCTCCAGAAAGCAGCACGGCCAGGGGGGCCACTCAGCCTCTCAGAATCAGCCCTTACTCCACAAACTTGACAGTGAGAGTGATGGTGACCCAGTGGCAGCCTTTTCAGAGGGGATGCTCTGCCCACCACCACCACCCTGCCTGCCAGGATGGACACGGGCCCCCAGGTCTGCCAGTGGACAGCCAAGCACACCAGTCCCTGAGGACAAGACCATGCTCCCCTGCCAGCATTCCCTCTAGGAAACCAGGGAGAAACGTGCTGCCCTGGCCCACTGCTGTGTGTACCTCCCCAGGGTCACCTCCCGAGCACAGGCAGGGCAAGGGGCTGCTCAGGACTTCACAGGCTTGGCCTGAGGTTTCCTGGTTGGGAGCAAACAGCAGGGCAACATTCAAAAAGCAGACACTGCCATGTTCTCACCCATCACAAGGGTCCCAAGGAGCTGGGAGTTCATAGAACTGCACTGAACCAGCCAAGACTGCAGCCATCACAGCCCTGCTCACAGACACCCGAGGAGGAGTGGGGGCCCGAGCCATACCCAGCACCCTGAGTGCAGCACCACCAGTCCCTGGACCACCCCGATGGCACCCAGCTGCTGAGAGCAGAGGATCCAGGTGATGGAAGTGCTCCCCCCCCCCAAGAATCTCTGTTTGCAACAGACACTTCCCAGACTGTGAAGGTTTTGGGAGGATACTGTGCTGGAAGGCACAAAGGGGAAGGACTAAAACTTCAAACAGACCACCGAGGAGCTGAGCAGTTTCACAGGCACCACACACACCCCTGTCAAGCAGTACCAAGTAGGAGTTTGCTCCATCCCTCCTCCTCTGCCTTTCCAACTGCCTGTCCCTGACCCTTTGGGTACAAGGGGCTAAGGAGCAGCAGAAAGGAATAGGGAAGGGGAGAGGTCGCAGAGACGTCACAGCAGAGGGATTGCAGGCGCATCTCCTCCTCACAGCTCAGCACTTCGACCCTTCCTTCCACCGCAAGGTCGGGGGCTCCGCACAGGGCAATCCCCTTGGTTGGCATCCCACCCTCTTCTCACCCCGTGTCGTACTGGAGGAACCGGTCAGAGAGGTGGAAAGGCGGTGAAGGACAGAGAGAGCACCCCAGTCTCCCGGTCACAGCCATTCCCAGCACAGCGGCTCCATGTCCGCCCGGGCAGCAGCAGCGGGATAGCGGGATGCGACCCTCCTCCTGCCCCGGTGCGTGCCCTGCAGCCACCCCTCCTTCCACCCAGCCCCTTCTCTCCGTTCTTTCTCTCCCCTAGCCACCCCTTCCCTCCCTCGATTCCCGCTTCCGTCCATCTCTCCCATCCATCCATCCATCCATCCATGCATCCAGTCCATCCCTCCCTCCCTTCCCTCCACCCCTCTCCTCCTGCCCCACTCCCGAGATGCCGGGAGCGCTCCGGGGAGCACCCGCGGGGCTTCTTTTGGTGGGTGAAGCCGCCAGTTCCCCGCCAGCTCCAGGGCTCGGGTGCCGGGATAGTCCCGGAGCCACCGGGGGCGGTGCAGGGTGGGGGGAAGTTCGGCTCTGGCCGTGCCCTGCCCGTCCCGGTCCCGCTGCGCTCACCTGGCCCCGCGGGCGGCCACCGGGTGGACTCCATGGATCCGTACCGGGGAGGGGTCCGGCTCCCCTCCATCCGCAGCCCAGCCCGCTGTGCCTCCTTCGGGGCGGGGGCTCCGGCCGCTCCCACCGCTCCCACCGCTCCCACCGCTCCGCTCCTTCGGGGCGGGGGCTCCTGCTGCTCCCACCGCTCCGCTGGGGCGGGGGCTACTCCCGCTCCCACCGATCCCACAGCTCCGTTCTCCTCGATCCCACAGCTCCGTTCTCCTCGATCCCACCGCTCCGCTCCGCTCCACCGGGGCGGGGGCTCCGCTCTCTGCCGGCAGCCCCCGCGTCCCCGCCCGCTCCTCGCAGCCTCACCCGGGAGATTCCTCCCGGGGGCTCGTCCCCACCCCGAACCCAGACCCACCCAAAACCCGCAGCAGGAGCAGCACGGGCAGTAGCAGCGGCCCCACGGGTGGGGTGCCGGGGGGCGGCCGGGGGCACCCGCCTGGCCCCGGGCACTGACGGTGATCAGGCTCTGCAGAGCCGGGTGGGACTCGGGTGCTGAGGGCGAGGCGCGGCACTGATCAGCCCCCCCAAAGCTACTGCGAGGCACTGAAGTAATTAATTTTCCCTATGGAAAAGCCCAACAGCGAGTGTTTGAAGAACGTTCCGAGGTACGTGTTGGTCTGGAATCCAAAGGCTGGCTGGGAGCGCGTTGACAGCACCCACCTCAGCAAGGGTATTGGTGATCTTCTCTCTCCCTATGGAATGGGTGTAAATCCGAGCAAAATCTTGGAATTCTCATCTGCAAAAGCAAGACAGGAGCTCCTGATTTTTGATCCAGTTCAGTGATTTAAACCAGAACGTGTGCAAGGGAGATGGTGCCTCATTCTTTGAGGATTACTGTGGCATACAAACAGAACAAGAATTATTAACTCTGTGTGTAAAAACGGGGAGGGGGAAACAGGATATGGGAGCTGCTGCTCTGAGTTACAAATGCAGCAGCAGCCAGTGAACTGTGGGTACCCATGGGATCACCTTGCTCCAGAAATCCTCTGGAAACACAGGATTACCTCTTGGACAGGAACAGCACAAAGTCACCAAGGTGGACTGTGACAGATCCCAGAGGTGAAGTGGTGATCCTTGAAAAACAGAGTTTTGGTATTCAAATGAATTGTTCTGGAATACCCTGAGTTTGCAAGGCAGCTGCACTGGGATTTCAATCTCCAGGCTCCCAGTTGGACAGGAGAGGCCAGCTGAGAGACAGAGCCACTCTGGGATTGATTGGTTTGGTTGTTTTAATGTGAAGTGTAAGGATAGCCATGAAGTGGCTGTTCCTCAGCTCATTAAGTGACGAGCATCCACCATCACTGGAACTACAAAAAGTGACTCACCTTGTTTTGGTTGCTCCCCAGAGCACAGAAAATGAACCTGTAAATATTTTAATCAGTTCTTCAGTTGAATTTTCTGCAGGATGACTTTCACCATGAGCAGCCAGGTCTGCCGTGGGCTGCAACTCGAACTGAACACATTCAAAATGCTCACTTATATTCTTAATAAAAGCGTGGGAATAAATCAAACAGTCCAGAGTCACACACAGAGTTATGATCCAATTAACACATGCCGTTTGTTCTGCTGTATGGAATGGAATCATGATGTGCAAATCCATTCTGTGACACTCACGGGCCCTTCGCTGCCAGCTCAGGTGCATCTTGGTGACTGATTCCCTGAGAGAGCACCATGGTCCCAAGGACCTGAATGTCTGTTCCTATGGAGGGATGTACAAGTCAGAATAACTAGTTCAGAGTATTCACTAAGTTCATTTTCCTTAGCATTTGGCAAAAAATCGGGTTTGTGTTTCTTAATTCATGCTTTGAATTGAAGTTATTTCAGCATGTGATTATGTTTCCTGGCTAAAAATCCTTTTTATTAACAACAAAACTCTGTGTTGATAAAAGCCTTCTGCTTTCAGTTTGTAACTCCCCCCAATGGTCCGACCTTCCAACCTGACTGGAGGCAGAAATGTTCTCAAATTTTCAAAATCAAAGTCATGTTAACAACAACTTCCCTGTCTGCTGTAGTGGGAGGGTCATGATAAGATAACTGAATTCTCTGTTCCTTAATTTCTCCAGGCAAGACTTCTCAAGACACCAAAGGTGAAGCAAAGGTTAATTATAAAGGTGTCTCACCTCTACATTTGGGGTCACAGTTTTATGGTCTCAACTGAAAGTAAAAAATGCCCTTGGCCAGAAAAGTCATTTATATGGCAGCAAAACCAGGGAGAAACCACACAGAGCAAAATTTATCTGTTCCCTGAGAAATGTGGTATAAAGTGGCAGAGACTCCCTTACATTGGCTCCCTCCTGATAAACAGAATCACAGAATCACAGAGTGGTTTGGGTTGGAACGGACCTTAAACATCATCCCATTCCACCCCCTGCCCTGGGCAGGGACACATTCCACCAGCCCAGGCTGCTCCAAGCCCCGTCCAACCTGGCCTTGGACACTTCCAGGGATGGGGCAGCCACAGCTTCTCTGGGCAACCTGTGCCAGGGCCTGCCCACCCTCACAGGGAAGAATTCCTTCCCAATATCCCATCTAACCCTGCCCTCTGGCAGTTTGAAGCCATTCCTCTTGTCCTGTCACTCCAGCCCTTGGAAATAGTCTCTCTCCATCTTTATTGTAGCTTCTTCAGGTCCTGGAAGGTCAAAATGACCCAAAAGCTTTTCTTCTCCAGGCTGAACAATCCCAGCTCTCTCCCCTTTCCTCCCAGCAGAGCTGCTCCATCCTCTGATCCTCTTGGTGCCTCCTCTGGCCTCTCTCCAGCAGCTCCATGTCCTTCCTCTCCTGGGACCCCAACCCTCAGAAACATCACTCTCCTCTTCTTTTGAGACTCCAGCTAAATAGATTTACTTTACATGAACCATATCTACAATTTTGAGAAACAATTCCTTACAAAGACACAAAACCCCCTCTGTGAACACATCTGGGCAGGTTTCACTGCAGTCCACAAAGAACCACGCTGTGGCTGCTGGCTGAATCACAGAAATCTTTGGAGAGCCCTGGAAAGGATCTTACCATGCTGATCAGATCCACAAGGAAAACGAACATTTATAGAGTTTTCCCTAATTTCCTATTCTGGGAGTACCACACTATTTCAGTCAGTCACAGATGTGAGGTGCACACAGAGGAGCTGAAGGAAACATTTGTAATATTCCATCAAAAAATAAAGACAGAATCTGCAGTTTCAGTTCCCTTATAACTTGGGGACAAGTTGTTACAAAGCAGGATAAAGATGCAAGGAGTTTCTCAACTCCTGTGTCAGTTGTATCCTGAAACCACCTGCAAGATAACTGAGTTGTTTCAAGAAGTCTCTGTTATTTTTTTGGGAGATGTTGTCTCATCTAATAAAACTGATTTTCTCGGCTCCTCTGAATCCTCTCACAGAGGACACATACACTGAGCTACGTCAAATTTAAAAATCCAAGAGCTACAAAGACCATCATTGTGTGGAACTCGTTCCTCAACACTGACTCCTCTTTGCTTCCTGAGCTCAGTTCCATTCAATTGTGTTCAGAGAAGGACACAGCTCCACTTAGACCCCGGACAGCAAAGGGGGGAAAATTTAGTATTTGTACATATAACCCTTTAAAATTTGCTCAAAGCAGACAAAGAGTAAAATCTTAGATGATCTTATAATCACTTTTGTCTTTACAAGTCCTCCTTAAGAATAAAAACCGAAAGAAACAGAAGTTTTGACATCAATTTTTTTGCAAATAGTTGCAAAGTAATGCAAAAATAATCTCTGATGTGGCTGGAAACACATCAAGAGAAGCTATTTTCCCTAAAGGCAGTTTGGTTCTTCTCCATTAAAATTTTACTCCCAGCAGCATTTAATGCCTTGGCACATTCTTACTTCTGCAAGAACAATAAAGCCACGCTCAGAGCTCACACAGAATAATTTAAATCCACCTCCTTCCTTACCCTTCTGGCTTGGAGGATCTGTGGCCATCAGAGAGGAAGAAACTGAGTCCCCAGTGTTGCAGAGCTCACGCACAAAACTGGTATAAACATCAGTGGGAAATGATTTAAGCAAACTGGTGGTTAAAGCAATTTCTTCAGTGAATGAGCCTCTGCCACATTCATTCCATGGTGGTTTGTAATTCAGAGCGCATTTCAAACTGCATCAATGTGATTCTCCCCTGAATCAGCACCAAATGTGTTTATTGGATTGATAATTTAAAAACAACAACAAAAAAGTTCTTATTATCCAGCATTATTACACTGAAGTTCAGCTTTGGCCCTACCTGAAATCCTGCCTGTTCACAGCAGCACCGACCCAAAAATGAGGTAAAATCCCAGGGGAGTCACCCCAGGCTCTGCCAGGCAGCCACCACCCCTCTCCACAGGTGGATTGCACCAGCACCCGTCATTCCAAGGCTTCTCTGTGCAAAAGTGGAATTACTGTTGTGCTGAAGCAGATAAAAAGAGCACATATCACCCAGGTAATTGGCTTCAAACGAGGGCAGGCACTTCCAGTTAAAGGAGCAACTGCATTTTAAACCATTCCAGCTATTTCTCTTCCTCTCCCAAAAGCACTGATGGCTCTGGGATGTGCTGTTTGCAGGGATGTATTTGACTGCAGTCAGATGCTCCATTAACAACTTCTGTTCCTGAGGTATTATATGATAATAAGGCCGGGATAAATCCTTGACATTAAAATTGCTCTCAACTTGTGTTTGAATTCCTGGGAGAAGATAACTTCTTAATAAAAAGTTCCAGCTATTCTTGGCACGGGGACAATTCTATCTATAGAGCCCTTCCAGCAGAGTATTCTGCATGGCACTGAGGATTTGTGCCAGGAAAAGAGAGAGCTAATTACCCCGAAAGCATCTGATGTACAGATAATGTGGAATCGATGCATACAGAGAAAGAGATTATCTCCAAGGCGTGTCTTTTCCTTGTCTCCAACCCCTTCCTGTCGAGCCCAGAACACAGCAGGGTGACAGATTGCAAGGCCATTTGCATATGGCATATTAAATATGCATTTAAATAAATATTCTGCCTTTTGCAGCTGCCTCGTCTCAGGGCTTGTAAACCACTTAGGCAGATCCTCTGCAAAGGAATGATGCAGCTCCCCGTCCAAGGAAGTACTTCATGAACTGACA